TTGCTTTAAATGTTTTCATAGTACATACATATAAAATATAAAATTAATGAATGATTTAATTTTGATTGGTAAATGCATAAGACATACCATACTACTACATATTTACTTATGGTTTAGTACTTATTTTAGTAATCGTTTGTGAAGCTGAATATGAATTATACGACTTACATCCTTTGCGATACAAATATATTATAGACAAATGCAGTAAATTTTCATATGCACGTCACTGCACATTGTTAGTACGGTGGGCACTCGTTTTTGCTTTGTAGGTGTGCGGTAGTCCACCAAACAATTCGTAGCGATGTTGTGTTTTAATTTAGCAAGTAACCAGTGGCGATTAAATAATTTTTTTTTTTTTTTTAATTAACGATTTGGTGAAAGTGTGACTATAATAACATATGTCATCTTGTTGCATTGCTGATCAAAAAAAAAATATTGATAATTTGAAACATGTTTTCTCTGTATAAAACTGAAATGCCACGAAAAATCGCCGAGAGCCGTAAACTTTATTTTGGATCGTAGATTACGGATCTGTATATCATTTTTATAGATCAGGTCGTTTTGCCAGGATATTTTCAGTTTAAGTTTGCATTGCGAATGAGAAAAAAAATTCAAACTTAACATGGAAAACGTTACTCATACGCCGCGTAACATTATTTCCTGTCCCTATTGCATACAAAAAATTATTGGACATTTTCATATAACCATTCATCGATATTCATCGTTAGTAGCTTGATATTTTTTGCAAAAAACAGCTTTTAATAGAAATGACAAAAATCTACGAATAATTCCTATTTATTTTATTATTTTTTTTTTCATTAATATCAAAATATTTTGGGAAAATGACACAATCTAGTAAAACTGTATACAGATTCGTAATCTACACCCAATATTAAGTTCACGTGTTTCGACGATTTCAAAACTTAAGATTTTGCTTATGGTGTAATTCTTAACTAGGTCTTACATCGTCTACGGCCGTTAAGACTGTTTGCTGTTTTGGAGGCTATATATATTACTCATATATTTAGTATACAAGTTCTCTGGAAAGGCCCAAAATATCCCCGAAGGTATCCTTCACCACCCACATTTCAACGAGCGAGGATTAGATGGCGTGTAGCTGGAATCTGGCATCAGGATCCTGTAAACATATTTACGGACGTATCGATGCTGAACGGTAAGATAGGTAGAGGGGTATTCTGCGAAAAACTTTCTATTAACCTGAAATTCTGGCTACCGGATCACTGTAGCGTTTTTAAAGCAGAGATAGCCGCACTGCATGAGGCTTCCGATTGGTTGCGCTCTAGGTAAACAGCTCTCAAATTGGTGAATATCTATTCTGACAGCTAATCAGCAGTGCCGCAATAAGAACATAGAGGCCAAAATACGTGAGTGCGAAGAGCTTGAAATGCTGGCCGACAGGAAGAATGCCCAAAAATTTTACCAGAGAGTTAGGCAACTGACCGAAGGTTTCAAAACGAGGTCGTATTCCTGTATGGAAAACAATGGCAACCTAGTTACCGATGCTCAAAACGTACTTAAATTATGGAGGGAACACTTTTCCACCTTGCTGAATGGTAGCAGCACTGAAAGCTGTAGAGAAGACGAACCCGAGCCCCCAGTCGATGAAGACGGAGTCGATGTTCCACCACCTGACTATGACGAGGTACGAATAGCCATAGCGCAATTGAAAAACAACAAAGCGGCCGGAGCTTACGGCCTGTCAGCCCAGCTTTTCAAGTACGGCGGCGAAGAGCTGATAAGGTGCATGTATCAACTCTTATGCAGAATTTGGTCAGATGAAGGCAAAGTCTTATCGAGCGTTTTGTGTGAAAGACTGAAGCCCACCGTCTACGAACTGATTGGGCCTTATCAGTGTGGGTTTAAACCTGGAAAACCCACTAGGTATTCACAATACGCCAAATCTTGCAAAAGACCCGCGAGAAAGGGATCGACACTCGTTACCTATTTGTCGACTTCAAAGCCGCTTTCAATAGCATAAATTTGGCATCCCCTCGAAACTGATACGAAGTAATACCACCAGATCTGTCAGAATTGGGAATGACCTCTCCGAGCTGTTTGCTATTAAACGGTATTTCCGACAGAGCTACTCCCTTTTATGTGATTTCTTTAATCTTCCATTGGAGAAGATATTAAAAGCTGCAGAACTGAATCGCTCAGGAGCAACTTTTTATTGTAATTTTACTATGGCAGTTTTACAAATTAGTTGTTTGCTAAATTTGTACTCTATTTTAGAATTTTGATTTACTTTAATTGCTTCCATTTAAAAAGAGGCAAACTTTTAAGATAAATTTCCAATTTTTAACCGACTTCACAAAAAGGAGGAGGTTACCAGTTCGTCGATTTTTTTTTTTTTTATGTATGTTACCGCATACCTTTGAACCACATTAACCAATTTCGCTATATTTTTTCATCGGATAGGTGGTACTTCAGGGGTGGTTCCATACACATTTTGGTTAAATCCGATAATTGGATCGTTAAGAAATTAACGATAATCTTAATGTTTTATATGAGAATTGAAGTCGGTTTGGTTTTTTGCTGAAAAATTACTTGTTTCATTAATTTTATTTAAGTAAAACACAAAATATCTATACACGACTTGCTTCAACACAGCCACACATTGTTTGTTAGACTATCTACACGCAGGTATCGCCGCGTTGCACAAAGCCATTCAAACGCTATCAGGAATCCAGTTATGCAGACAGCATCTGCACATACTTAATTTTTTTATTTTTTTATTTTTTTTTTTAAATAAAGAGCGCGTGGATAGAACAAAAGCTTACGCTGCTGGTACTGCCGCTTCTGCAAAAAAAGAACTCTTCAAATGCACTACACAACGCTGAGTTAAAGTATAAGCCCTTTGCTGCTGTGTGCGTGTGTGTATGTATATATACTCGCATCCTTGCCCAGCGAAAGCCTTAAAGGTGTAATCAAACCAAACTGCGCACGTTCAACGATGGCTAAATATTAGTCGCAAAATGCAGACAGCACTGGGTTTTAAAGAATTTTTTTCTTTTTATGGCGCACATTTCTTACCCAACAACAATACTATTGCATACATACGTTGCACTGAATAAATGCGTAACTCATTTCATATAAAACTTAGCTACTTGAACAACTAAAACATATTTACAGTTGTATGTAGTGACTGTCGGGGTGCATAATACAAGTACATATGTATGTTAGTATGTACATATGTAGATACATTGTATGTACATATTTATTAAGAATATTACGTATACGCACCTACGAACATTTTCGTCTATTTTCTAATTGTAATTTATTACGTTTGTTACATATCTACATATACATATATGTAAATATGTTTATATGCATGTAAAAACACTA